CTTAAATATTAGTTCGTTTAATGTTATGAAGGTTAAAATGCCAAGCAAGTCGACAAAGATTAAAATTCTGATACAATCTTTCTCTATTTGTCCTGGTACATTTACGTATTCCTCTAAGAGCCTATTTTATTTATTTTTGAATAGCCTATTTTATTTATTTATTTTGAATAGTGTACCAAAAGGTACACTATGTGTAGATTATCTTCCCCTCACCATCCTCTGTAGTTAACTAGTTTTATAATTAATCAGGGATTACAGTACTTAATATGTACAACCTAAGTACATATATTTTATTCCCCCTTTTTACTGTGAAAAAAGTAACACAGTATATACTCTTTTCCTGTTCTTCACCTTGCCTTTTTCATTCAATTTTTCACATCAGTGTGCACAGAAATTTTCATTCACTTTTATGGCTGCATATTATACATTGATGTAGATGTACCACAGTGTATTTAACCAGGTCCCTCTTTCAAAAGCAAAAACAAACAAACAAACAAACAAACAAACCAGTCCAAGTAGGATTACACCCACAACTATATGGTCAATTAATCTTCGACAAAGCAGGAAAGAATATCCAATGTGAAAAAGAGAGTCTCTTCAACAAATGGTGTTAGGAAAACTGGACAGCAATGTGCAAAAGAATAAAAGTGGACCACTTTCTTACACCATACAGAGAAAAAATTCAAAATGGATGAAAGACCTAATATGAGACTTGGAACCATAAAAATCCTAGAAGAGAACATAGGTAGTAACCTCTTTGACAAAGGCCATAGCAACTTTTTTCTAGATGTCTCCTGAGGCAAGGGGAAAACAAAAGCAAAAATAAACTACTAGGATTACATCAAACTAAAAAGCTTCTACACAGCAAAGGAAACAATCAACAAAACTAAAAGGCAGCCTACAGAATGGGAGAAGATACTTGCAAATGACATATCTGATAAAGGATTAGTGTCCAAAATCTACAAAGAACTTCTAAAACTCACCACCCAAAAAACAAATAATCCAATTAAAAACTGGACAGAAGACGTGAACAGACATTTCTCTAAAGAGGACATATAGATGGCCAACAGACACATGAAAAGATGCTCAACATCATTCATCATCAGGGAGATGCAAATCAAAACCACAATGAGCTATCAGCTCACACCAGTAAGAATGGCTAAATTCAACAACACAAGAAACAACAGGTGTTGTTGAGGATGTGAAGAAAAAGGATGTCGTTCACTGTTCATAGGGATGCAAACTCGTGCAGCCACTGTGGAAAATGGCACAGAAGTTCCTCAAAAAGTAAAAAATAGAATTACCCGGTGATCCAGGAATCTCACTACTGGGTATTTACCCAAAGGATACAAAAACACTAATTCAAAGGGATATATGCACCCCTACATTTATAACAGCATTATCACAAGAGCCAACATATGAAAGCAGCCCAAATGTCCATTGATTGATGAATGGATAAAGAAGATGTGGTATATATACACAATGGAATGAATCTTGCCATTTGCAAGAACATGGATGGAGCTAGAGAGTATAATGCTAAGCCACATAAGTCAGAGAAAGACAAATAACATATGATTTCACTCATATGTGAAATTTAAGAAACAAAACAAATGAGCAAAGAGAAGAAAAGAGAGAGAGAGAGAGAGAGACAAATCAAGAAACAGACTCTAAATTATAGAAGACAAACTGATGGTTACCAGAGAGGAGGGGAGTGGGGGGCTGGCTGAAATAGGTGATGGGGATCATGGAGTGCACTTGTGACGAGCACCTGGTGATGTATGAAAGTGTTGAATCACTATATTGTACACCGAAACTAATATGACACTGTATGTTAACTAACTGGAATTAAAATAAAAACTTTAAAAACCAAATGAAAAACAAAAAATAAAATAGATAGGACTACATCAAACTGAAAGTTTCTACACAGCAAAGGATGTCATCAACAAAATGAAAACTCAACCTACTGAATGAGAGAAAATAGTTGCAAATCATGTATCTGATAAGGGGTGAATATCCAAAATATCTGAAGCACTCATAACCCAACAGCAAAAACACCCAAAAAACAAAACAACAGGGGCGCCTGGGTGGCGCAGTCAGTTAAGCGTCCGACTTCAGCCAGGTCACGATCTCGCGGTCCGTGAGTTCAAGCCCTGCATCAGGCTCTGGGCTGATGGCTCAGAGCCTGGAGCCTGTTTCACATTCTGTGTCTCCCTCTCTCTCTGCCCCTCCCCCGTTCATGCTCTGTCTCTCTCTGTCCCAAAAATAAATAAACGTTGAAAAAAAAAAAAACAACAACAACAACAAAACAATCTGATTAAAAAATGGGCAGGGAATCTGAATAGACATTTTTCTAAAGAAGACATATAGATGGCCAACAGGTACAAGAAAAGATGCTCTGTATCATTAATCATCAGGGAAATGCAAATCAAAACCACAATGAGTTATCATCTCACACCCGTTAGAATTGCTAAACTCAAAAGACAAGAAATAACAAGTGTTAATAAGAAGAGGATGTGGAAAAAAGAAAACCCTGTGCACTGTTAATGGGAATGTAAAATGGTGTAGGCACTATGGAAAACAGTACAGGGGTTCCTAAAAAAATTAAAAATAGAACCACCATATGGTCCAACAATTCGACTTCTGGGTATTTATCTAAAGAAAACAAAAACACTAACTTGAAAAGATACATGTACCCCCCTGTTCACTGCAACATTATTTACAATAGCCAAGATATGGTAACAACCTAAACATCCATAGATGAATGAATGCATAAATATTCAACCATTAAAAAAGAATGAAATCTTGCCATGTGAAACAACATGGATGGACCTCAAGGACATTATGCTAAGTGAAATAAGTCAGACAGAAAATAAACACAGTATGATCTCTCTTACATGTGAAATCTAAAAAAAAAAAAAAAACAAAAACTAGAAACAAAAACAAACGTGTAGATACAGAGAACAGAAGGTGATTATAAGAGATGGAGGGTGGGAGAAATGGGTGAATTGTTTTTTTGTTTTTTGTTTTTTTAGTTTAAGTAAACTGAACAAAAATTTTATTAAAAAATTCCTAAGTCCAGGCCTATGAGACACAGGCATCAGTGTTTTTGTAGTTCCCTGGTGACCAATGTGCAAACAAATTTGGGAACCGTTGCACTATTTAAAAAAAAAATTTTTTTTGTTAATGTTTTTATTTTCGAGAGAGAGAGAGAGAGAGAGAGAGAGAGACAGAATGCTAGTGCAGGAGGGGTAGAGAGAGAGGGATACACAGAATCTGAAGCAGGTTCCAGGCTCTAAGCTGTCAGCACAGAGCCCATTATGGGGCTTGAACTCACAAACTGTGAGATCACAACCTGAGACGAAGTCAGAGACTTAACTGACTGAGCCACCCAGGACCACTGTGCTATTACTAAGGGAATTCTATGGGTGGTACTGCCCATTTGAATATTATTCACAAACTGCTGAAATATTGCTTGAAATAAGATTGGCGGAGCGGGGGGGGGGTGGGGAGTGGGAGGAGGCAGATAATCATCTTCCTCAGAAAAGAATTTTCCAGGCTCTCTCCCAGTCCAGGTAAACCACTCTGTCCCTGTGGACTGTTACCAAACAGGTCCTTCTGGAAGCAGCTAGGTTTAGAAGAGGCTAGGTCTGAAAATATCTGGAAGTCTCAAGGTATTATTACCCGTGGGAGAGTCTGCATTGTGTGAATGGAGGCCTAAATGCTTGTATTCCCCACGAAAGATTTATTTGAGGATCCATACTCAGCGACAGCCTGAAGGAAGGTAGCAAGCACAAAGCAGTTTACTAAGGACAGAACACTGTCAAGAAGGGACAGTGAGCAGACCCAGAGGTAGCAACTGCACCAGGATTAGGGGTGTCTTTTCTTTTTATGTTTGCATAGGTTATGGGTCATAGCTAGGTCAGTCTCTAACTGAGGTCGTTTCCAACCATCTAAGGGACTCCTCCTGCCAATTAGGAGGACGAGTTTTGGGCCCTACAAGGTTCTTGCTGGAACTGTCCTGTCCATCTCCTCCCACAGGGGCAGGGTTAAAATCACAATGTAAATACATTACAATGACACTATAGGTTACTCTGGGGCAGAGGCTGAAAAGGAGAGGGCATGTTCTGCACCTGTGGCTCTTGATGCCTTGGTGTCTTGGTGGCCACAAGGCCAGGAGGTTGAAGGGTCTTGGGAGCCACAAAGTCAGGATGTTGTGCCCCCAGGCTTCTAATGTGTACCCTATTTATCACCATCCTTGCCTCCAATACATGTCTAACTAACTGTCTACTCTATATCAGTACCATTTAAAACAGGCATCCCAGTTTTGTTTTGTTTTTGTTTTTGTTTTTTTTTTTTCCTATTAAGTACCCATAGCTTTCTAAAACTTTGACTAAATTAAGTTCGGAGAGATCAAAAGTTCCCCATAATGGCCATTGGTGGTGTGTTGTTTTGTTTTTTTTTTTCTTTTTTACTTTATTTATCTTTGAGAGAGAGCAGAGAAAGCAGGGGAGGGGCATAGAGAGAGGGACAGAGAATCCCAAGCAGGCTCAGCGCTTAACCGACTAAGCCACCCAGGCACCGGTGCTCTAAATTACTTTTGGTTAAGTCAATCCACTTAGTTTATAAATGTGCATGCAGAAGGACCATAGTTTTTAAACACAAAACCAGTCAGAGTCCCACTAAGGGCAAAGAAGGGAGCAGCATTCTCAGAGCATTTTGATGACTGCAATCCCATTACTAGGTTTTTCTCTAGTGCAAAGGGAAAAACTCCTAAACAGCACAGTTTCATCAGTAGCAGCTTGGTTCCAGAAGGAATCAGAGTGAAGACCGTCACCGTTCCAATAGGAACAATCCAGACCCCAAAAGAAGTCCGACCAAAGGCCAAAGGAGCACTTTCAAAGTAAAAACAAAACAAACAACCAGGGCATAAAACAGATCCTAATAAAGCCTGGAGAGTGCAAACACAAAGCGCAGAGCCCCAAATCCAGGAGGTAACTTACCGCAAACTCCAGGGTCAGCGAGAAAGCAGTGAGCCCAACTGGCTCTGTGGGTGCTGTCGGGTTTGTTCACCAGCCTCCGAGTTGCTGGGGGTCTTCTTCGCATCCCACTTCTGATCACCAAGTAAGTTAACCTTACAAAACAAAACTGCCAGCTATTTTAACAGCAAAAAAATGGATTTATTGGGGGATAACAGAGAATCGCAAGCCACAGCACACACTCTCCCAAGAAACTACAGGTAACTCCCTTCAACGAGAGGAATGTTCCTTTATAGAGGAAAGGGGAAGCTCGGCTGTTATAAACAGAAAGTCCATTGGTGAAAACTGGGAGTTCAAAGTATAGTGGCTTTTCATTGGCTGCATTGTTGCAGTCTCTCATTGGCTGGGCTGTTGCCAGGGGAGGAGAAAGGCCTTCCTTCTTGCTGGGATAGGAGTGGCCATGTGCAAGGTCCTTCTCTTCCCCTGGGTCTGTAATTGACAAGTCATAGGGCCTGAGAGCTCACCTTGAGGGCTTCCCAACTGCATTCTAAAGGAGATTTCCTTTTATTACTTTTCACAGAGCATACTCTAATCTCTGCCATTATTGCAGGAAGAACTCTTAAAAAGGTTAATGATAGGTACTGGAGAACCAACATACCCAGAAGAGAAAGACATGGTTTTAGTGTTATTGTATAAGAGTAAAAGTAATTGCAATAAATTCTACAATTTTCTGGATTCTAATTCAAATTGAAGTTTACAGATTTTCCCTTAACTTCCTTCAATTTATACCTGGTCTCTTTAACACTGGAAATCTTGGCTCCCAACAACATTAGCATAGTTACTTTTTTTTGGTCCTAATTTACATCAGTTTCAAAATAATACTGTGCATTTTAACAAGAAATATACTAAATGATGTTTAAAGTTTCTTTGAAGTTTCATTTGTTGTTAGAGTATGTTCCATAGCGACATACAGTCTGAACTGCACTTTTTTAAAATGTTTTATTTATTTTTGAGAGACAGAGCACGAGCGTGGGGAAGGGCAGAGAGAGACGGAGACACAGAATCCAAAGCAGGCTCCATGCTCTGAGCTGTCAGCATAGAGCCTGACCTGGAGCTTGAACCCACAAATCATGAGATCATGACTTGAGCTGAAGTCAGACGCTCAACCGATTGAGCCACCCAGGAGCCCCTGAACTGCACATTTTTAAAAAAAAATTTTCAGGTTTATTTACTCATTTTGAGGGAGGGGGTTGGGACAGAGAGTGAGTGAGGGAGAGAGAGAGAATCCCCGAGTTGCCAGCACAGAGCCCAACTCAGGGCTGGATCTCAGGAGCCATGAGATCAGGAGCTGAAACCAAGAGTCAGACACTTAATGGACTGAGCCACCCAGGTGCCCCTGAACTGCATGTTTTACAAAAAGGTTGTAGTAAAGGCACCCATAGTGACCAGTAGAAACCTTCCCCCCAAATTGTTTTTGTGTTGGCATGATATAGCCCACACAACACAAGGAAGCAAAATTTGTTTTTCCAGGAGCCTTGCTGTCTATCAGAGAGAGAACAGCCCTGTGAAGGCTTGGGCTGAATTATCAGAGGTTGCTTACCACTCTTGCCAAACTCTGAAGTCTTGTTAAGGAGATTTGGACCTGTCTCCCAACCTTCTCATCTTCCCTCTCTCCTTGAAAAAAATCAGAAAGCGGGTATTCTGAAGTATGGGTCTCGAAGTACACATTTAGGTGATTGTGTAAACTTGAAGTGTAGCTGAGGCACAGGGGTGCAAGGGCACCTGGCTGCAGGGGTCCCAAACCAGGTTTGGCCATTTGCTGCTGACAAAATCCAAAGGCAGAGAAACAGGTGGTGGTCAAACCAGAAATAAATTTATTTCAGTGAGGCCAACACTTGGGAAGACAGCAGACTAAGCCCTCGAGGACTGTCTCCAAAGTACCAAAAATACTTCAAGACTTATATAAGGAAAACGTGGGACAAAGGTCTGTGGGTGCGTGCAGATAGGCTGTGACCTTCAAACCAACCATTGTCTTGAGGTCAATCACATGGGGTGTGGCTGGCAGCTGGGCAGTCCCTATTGCCTGAGGGGGATAGGTTTTAGGTCTTCTGCCTGAGTTAAAAGATAAGCTAGAAAAAATTTAATCAGAAAGTTTGAAGTCAAAATGGAGGTAAGTGCTGTCCTCTCTCCGAAGCTGGGAGTAGGTGCAATTGACTACTAGGAAAAGTGTAACGTGAGTGGGTGCAGAAATCGGTGTAACACAGACCTGTAAGACCAGGAGGAGTCAGACATCTCAGAGGACGGGAAACTGGCTGGTGCACAGAGTTGTTGAGTCTAGGAAGGGAGAAGAGGTTTTTACCATACTCCGAGAAGCACTGTGGTGCCCCCAGAGGTAGGTTCCGTTACCCCGAGAGCGGTGAGTTCCCAGAGTCCAAACTGGCATGCGCTTCACTCGGCTTCTGCTGGCCGCTCACAGGGACACCCAGCACAGAGCAGGATGGCCTGGCCTGGAGGAAGTCCCTTGCGCAAAAAGGTGCGATGTGAACTTGGAAGGCGGATGCGTCCCTGAGGGGAAGTGAACGCGAGGCAGCGAGGGGGTGGGAACTAGGTGGTGGTGGGAGAATGATGCCACGCCCAGAACTGGGCTAGGATTCCCCGCGGGGGCCGTGCTTCCCGGCCCTTTCGTTTTGACCTCTTCCCACACCCTGGGACCGCGCAGGCGGCCAAGGAAAGTGTTGCCCAGCAATCGCAGCCGAAGCCTTCGGTTCCCGCCCCTCTGCGGCCGGACCTCCGCCTACTCCTACCGCGGCCGCCCCGCCCCGCCCCCCGCCAGTCTCGGGTCTGGCGAGAGCTGGCGCAGTTAGGAGGCATGGAGGGTGTCGGAAGCAAGGAGGGCGGCCTGGGACGCGCCGTGTGCGTGGTGACCGGGGCCTCCCGTGGCTTCGGCCGCGCCTTGGCCCCGCTCCTGGCCCGGCTGTTGTCGCCCGGCTCTCTGATGGTCCTGAGCGCCCGCAACGACGAGGCCCTGCGGCAGCTGGAGGCCGAGCTGGCTGCCGAGCGGCCGGGCCTGCGAGTGGTGCGGGTGTCCGCCGACCTGGGCGTCAAAGACAGTTTGCAGCAGCTGCTCGGCGCCGTGCGCGAGCTTCCCAGGCCCGAGGGGTTGCAACGGGTGCTGCTCATCAACAATGCGGGTAAGACGCCCGCCGGCAGGGGCGGACTCCCCAGGGGAGCCCTAGCAATAGTGCTTAATGCCCCTGCCTCTTCTCGCTCCTTCTCACTTTCCCGAACCGCAGGGAACTTTAAAGGTGACTGTTAGGAATCAGATAAGATGTCTAAAAATCCTGGTTGTTTTAGCAAGGTATGAAGGAAGACTCGGTACCATCGGTGCGGTTCAGGCTTACCCTCCCCACCCCTTCCCGTTTCAGGGCAAATTTTCCAAAATGCTTGTAGAACATTCCTGATCTTTTCCTTGTTCCGCGCCCTCTGGCGGAGGCCTGAGTCAGGGCATGAGGTCTTCCAGCAGAAGTAAATTACCAGTTTTTCCAAATGGCCGCCTGAGTTCTACCCCCAGGCCCAGAGCGGGGCATGCACCCCTTCAGTTTCCAGCTTGGGATGAGTGAACAACCCAGGTGTGTCTGCAGAGCCGGAAAGAGGGAGAAGTCTTCAGAAGCACTAGGGAGATTCCTCTAGGTTTGGATGGGAGGGGGGTGTCTGGAGGAACTTGGAGAAGGCTGGGGGAAGAGAAAGACCCATCTGCACAGAGTGATTCCTATGGTCTGGTTTTCAGGCACTCTCGGGGACGTATCCAAAGGCCTTGTGGACCTGGCTGACCCAGCTGAAGTGAACAACTACTGGGCTCTGAACTTGACCTCCATGCTCTGCCTGACTTCCAGCATCTTGAAGGCCTTTCCAGACAGTCCTGGCCTCATCAGGACTGTGGTTAACATCTCGTCCATCTGTGCTCTGCAGCCCTTCAAGGGCTGGGGACTATACTGTGCCGGGAAGGCAGCCCGAGACATGATGTTCCGGGTCCTAGCCACAGAGGAGCCTAGTGTGAGGGTGCTGAGCTATGCCCCAGGTAGGTGGGGCATTACCACCATCCCTGTCACCCAGAACTGGCTGGGTGGTTCCCCTCAGGGGTGGGCAAAGGGCCTAGTCCATCCCCTCCAAGAAAGAATCCACAGAGTATATTGTCCCTGAATCATTAACCATCACTCATTAAGGGAAATACAGACTCCCAGCAAGTGAGAGGTGAGAGCTAGCCAGAAGAGGGAGTAGAGTTGGGAGTTGGGAGTTGCCTGGACTGGGCAGTGGGGCGGGGGGCGGGCAGAAAGTCTGAGAGACTAGAGTTTGAGAACAATTAGGGTTTGAATTTCAGGCCTGTACCACATTTCCTTATGTGAAACAGGGAAGATGCTACCTGTCTCACAGGGCATTTAGCAGAGGGCCACAGAGGAGTTGGAACAGGGAGAGAACCAGGAGAGTATAAAGGGCCTGATTATCAGCGTATATAGGGGCAGAACAGTCCGTTTGCTGACTTTTTGGCTGTGGGAACAGAGTGGGGAGGGAGGAGACAGGGATGGAGGTTTTGAGCCTGAGAGAAGAGTACTTCATTAATAGAAATGAAAAAGGCAGGAGGAGGTGCTGGTTGGACAGGAGGTGATAAGCTTGCTGGTAGACATAGTGGTCTGGAGATACCATGTTCGCTGGGCATTGGAATTTGTGAGTCTGGAACTCAATAGTGACAGAATGACCCTGACCCTTTTGGTGACCCCCTTTGGTGACACTAACCACCCTTGTCAGCCAGGATGAGGTATTGCCTGTGGCCAGACCCGACTCCATCACTCTCCATACACACAGCAGGGGCCCCTGCCTCAGCCATGTCACCTCAGCTCCTGCACTTCATGCCCTAGGTCCGCTGGACACAGACATGCAGCAGTCGGCCCGGGAGACCTCGATGGACCCAGACTTGCGAAAAAGGCTGCAGGAGCTGAAGACAAAAGGGGAGCTTGTGGATTGTACGGTGTCAGCCGAGAAACTGCTAAACTTGCTGCAAAAGGACACATTCAAGTCTGGAGCCCACATTGACTTCTACGATAAATAAGCCAATGCCCTTGGCTCCCTGGGGCTCTCTTCCCCCTCTTTCAGGCACACCCAGGAGCCCTATGCCTCCCCCACATCCTGCTACAGTGGTACTGCCAATCCTGCCTTACTCAGATAAGCACTCATGTCTACTGTCCTGCCCCCAGAGCCAGCCAGCATGAGGGCCTTGGGTGGCCAGAGTCCTAGTTCTCAGGAGTGTGTTGACTGCCCTGAGTTAGGGGAAGCTTGGGGGAGAGAAGTTAGGGTTACTGGTGTTCTCTCTCCCCAGGAATGGAATTTTAGGGGTGGGAAAAGCAGCACAAGAAGCCGAAGCCTTGAAGAGAAAGAGTTGGGTCTCATGGCCAGTCCATGGCTGAGCCAATGTCAAATAGGAGGGTCCGTGTTAGATTCCCAGCCTGCAGGGGAGGGAGGACCGTGCAAGTTTGGCACACAAGGATGCTCTGTGCTCATGGTAGCAGGACCTTGTGTTGAACTTCATGTCTTCATTCTCATGCCTCCTCCCTCCAGAACCTGCCATCTGTCCCCCAGATGGAGGGAAGAGGCTTCTGAGAGTTTATGTACGTGTAAGAAGCAGATACAGATAAAATGTGGATTGTCCTTTATTAATGCCTGCCTTCTCTGACACAGGGCCTATGACTGACTCCTGGTTTGCTGGGCTTAGGGGTGTTCCCTGAAGCAATTAACCCAAACTTGGGGAGTTGTCCTTATATCCAGGGGCATTGTCTTGGGAGTATCTACCTCTTGTCACTGAGCACTACCCAGTGGCAAGCTCGGTTCAGAGATGGGCATGCCCAGATGCCTGTTCCTCCATCATGCTTTTACCTATATCGACCCAGTCTTTACTACCCTTTCCTCATCTTGGACCTATTCAAAGAGTATTTAGGGTTCAGGGCCTGACTCCCAGCTTCCCTGGCCCTCTTAGATTCCCAATTCTACCCTTTGCCTACATGATGGTTTTCTGAATGGATCCCATCTCAGGGTGTTGTCATGGCTCCTCCTGGTAGAGTCCATCTGGCCCATGGTTCCAATCTTCAGTGGGGTGGGCTTGGGACCAACATGCCTTTGGAGGAGATGGGCAATATTTGAAGAGAGGGAAGCCCTAAGAAATTAGGTGTGTGACCAAACCCATCCTTCTGCCAGTCGGTGGATATAGGATGTGCAGCTGGGAGCTCCACGGTGGTGGCAGTCTACAGCCAGCCAACCAGCCCCTCGCCCCTGGCCCATATTTAGGAGGAGAGCCCATGGTCCCTGCCAGCCAACTCCAGGACTCAGCCCTGCGACTTGATGGTGTAGGAGGGAGCTCTCTTTGTTCCTTTTCATGCACAGCAGAGGGCGCACTGAGGCAGTTCCTCCAGGAGAACCCTGAGTAGCTCATCTCTGGAGCCCAGGCTCTGGGCTGGAGCTGGCAATGCCCTGCTAGTTTCCCTAGGAGGGATCTAGTGACTCATGCTCTTTCTCTGCCCAGCAGAACATTTGCCTTCACTGGAGTCAAAAGCACTGCATTCATACCCCTGTTTTGCCATTTACCAGCTGGTAATCGAGGACAAATTGTTTCTCTTGTGTTTTGGTTTCCTAATCTGAAAAATGGTACCTCCCTCAAAGGGTCATTGTGAGCACTGAATGACCTAATGTTTGTAAATGGTCATCACAGTGCTAGCATCGCAGTAGGTACCCATAGATTTGGATAGTATGTATTGCCTTTTAATCTCAAGGTCCGGATCAATCTGGAGCCCCACTTGGAGCCCACATGCCGTCCCCCTTGCTGACCTACAGCAAGAACTCACTGTTTTGGACCTCAGTGGGGCTGGACTTCAGTCTGGACCACTTGTTCTGGACTCACCAGACCTATGGGAAAATGCATGACACTTGAAGTCAGGAACCCTTGGTCTCACTTCCCACTGTAACAGAGATGTGGGGTCCTGCACAGGGCCCTCCTCCCTCTGAGTTTCTCTTTCCTTAGAACAGATGAGCTCTAAGATTCCTTCCTGCAGGTGGGGCCAGGCCAGCCTGGGCTGCCCCTTCTGTCTGGTGAGGGTTGGGTGATCTCACCTGGCCCCTTGCCCCTGTGGGGCTGTGAGACCCGTCAGCGCCAGCACAACCCTAGTGTAGTTGCCCCTTCGGGATTGTTTCCCTCTCTTTCCACCAGGCTGGTTGGCCAGGACTTAGTGAGGAGTACCACATGTCCCCACGAGGTGGCGAGGCTCTCCCATGCCTGATACTTGTCCTCTTTGAGCCCAGGGATTTAAGAGCCTTGGAAACAACCCCCATCTCTCTTTCTCCCTGCACTCTAGGATTGAGAACTCTCAGGGCTCCCCAGGGAGCTGGGGTCACTCTCCCTGGCAGGCCTAAGTCCTCCTTGAGTCCTCACGGGCTCCGACTACAGGGATTTCCCAGACCTTGCTCCTTGACCCGGACTCAGCCTCCCCAGTTCTCCCACCACTGGGGGAGGGAGACTGTCTTGCCAGCCTCAGAGCGGGGAAGGGGGGGGCGGGGGGGCAGCCATCTGTGTTCCCAGAGTGCATGGCCTGGCGTGGGCCACCACACGTACGAGCACATGCAAGCACACACACAATACATGTCTGCACATGCCCAGAGTCCAGCTGCAGGGTTGAGCAGGGCCTCAGAT